GTTCTTTGAATTTCATTACTCTCTTTTTCGCTCTATCTCTCTGGCAAACCATCTATGAAAATTGCAATTTAATTTACTTGTATTTGCTTTCCATAGATATAGAGTTCAGTTTGTTCACAACTATATTTGTTTCGCTCTTGTTCTTCACTTTTTTCATGTTTACTTTTTGTTCAAACTTTAAATATTCCTTTCACTTTTGCTTTGCTCCTGCCATTACCACCGTACCTTTCTCCAAACCAAACATAGAACTCTATACCTCTGTTGCGACAAGGAAAAATGAAGTTATTCAAAGAATACTAAAGCGCATCATTTGTCATCAGGCTGGTTGGTGGTGATCATCATCGTCATCGTCGTCAACATCGGGGTTAGAAGAGTAAACTAAACTATGAATACCTTCGTAACAAACAATAACAAACTAACAACGCAAACAACTTGAAGAAATTGAAAGAGAAAAAAGAAATCATTTTTTGATTACTTAAGCAAAAGTAGAAAGGAAAAGACAACAAGGCCACCTTGAATCACATAAGTAAGAAAAAGAAATCCGATTCAAGTATTATGATGCAATGTTAGCATATTTGATGATATTATAGTAGCAGTGCAACACCTTGTGATTGATAGATGCTGATGTTAGTTATTCTTTAATGGGAATATTTTTTGAAGAAGTGTATAGCGTGAAAAATAACTTCGATTATAGCATGTGCATATAGAAAGGAAGTAAGTAAGTTTATTATAGTTATATAATATTATACACTATTCGAAGGATAGGTAGTTATGAAGTTAAATTATTTTTTGATAAGTAATCAAAACTTTATCGTCGAGTTATTTTTGATAATATACTGGACTAGTTTTAATATTGCGAAATGTCGATTTACGGTAAAAATATACCAAAATTTTCCAAAATAGCATTAAAACAGAAGAGAACAATGTTGACTCATAGCTACTTTTTTGTATATTTATACCCTTCACCACACTGTGGTACAGGGTATTATGTCCTTGTGCATATGTTTGTAACAGGCAAAAGGAAACGAGATAGACCCATAGTTCCTTTTGAGAATATGCATAGAATCACTTTCTGAGTCGATTTGTGCATGTCCGTCCGTCCGTCTGTTAGTGTTAAATTGTAAACAAATTACAGGTCGCATTTATAATCCGATTTGGATGAAATTAGCTGGCACAAAGATGAAATTTGGCATTTTGTTTGGCTCAAGGACGAACCCTGTTGAAATTGGGAAAAATCGGTTTAGATTTTGATATAGCTCCCATATATATTTTCCTCCGATTTAAGGTAAATGGTGCACAAAAGATGAAATTTGGCACAACTCGTTTGTTTGGCTCAAGGACGAACCCTTTTGATATTGGAAAAAATCGGTTCAGATTAAGATATAGCTTCCATATATATTTTCGTCCGATTTCATGTAAATGGAGCACCAAAGTCCCTATATATCCTTCGATTTGTAAGAAATTCGACATAACGTACTGAATTAAGCCTAGAGTGATGTCTGCCAAGTTTCGTGAAAATCGGTCCATATTTATATATAGCTCCCATATATATTTTCGTTTAATTTAATGTGAATGGTGCACCAAAATCCCTATATATCCTTCGATTTGCACGAAATTTGGCATAAAGTTTCGTGAAAATCAGTCAAGGTATATATATATAGCTCCCATATATATTTGCGCCTGATTTAATGTAAATTTAGTCCAGAATGATGTGTGCCTAGTTTCGTGAAAATCGGTTGAGATTTAGATATAGCTCCCTTTTATTATAAATTGATATTAAGTAATTGATGCACCAAGGAACCAATAGGCTGATAGGAACAAGTTTCGTTTAAATCGCTTCATATTGGTATAGCTTCCTTATATATTGTCGCCCAATTTTAAGTTAATTGGGCATCAAACTCCTCATGTTAGTCAGATTGACATCAAATTATGCACAACCTACAAAATTGAGCATAGAATGGGAGACCTTCATGAAATTGTTGAAACGGATGACTAATGTTAGGTAGATTTATTTTATTTTTCATGTTAATAGTCCTGTTTAATATACCCATAGTGGTGAGGGGTATCAACGATAATATATTTCATTATTTATTAGATATAATTTCGGCCAAAAACACAACGCAAAATAAATAAATTTTGCTAATAATCGACAATATAACCATTAATTTTCATTACGGCATCACACCTACCAGGCATTGAATCAATAAATTTCCCAATGATTTTGCTATATATGACACTCTCTATAGAGTATCATAGAAACTTAGTAAAAGAATAAGAACTTAATATTATTATTGAACCTTCGTGCTGACCAGTGCCCTTGAAATACTGTGGCATGAGCCTTTAATTTTTTTTTTTTTTTTTTTTTTGATTTTCTCACGGTAAACTGTTCGTGGCTGAGCCCTTAATATTAACCTTTAATTTATTTGAGAACATAATAAGTCCACTTTGAGTCGGATTCCAATCAATATGGGATTTAGGAAAAACCAATCTGGATTTGCAATTCTTTTCAGAAATAAAAGGGATTTTTTAATGGCATATAGACCTGCTACCATAGCTCGTACACGCTCTGTTTTTGAGTTTATATCCAATTATAACCCTCTCACCACTTCCGTTGAAATCTTTGATTGGTATTTTTACTGATATGACAATTTGATGATCAGTACATGATGCACTATCAGTACTGATATAGTTGCATGGAATCAACTTATAATTCGAGAAATCATGGACTTATTTATCCAGTATTTCACTTAAATAATTTTTTGTGATGCATTATTTTCAATATCAGTAGCTTTATGGGTGTAGTGTATTTGTTTATAGCCATCGAAATCGAAATCAAATTGTATCCAGTGCACTAGACGTTCGATCGATCTGAGGAGCGAATATCGATTCGGACCAATACCTTGTAGCAGCCAAGATTCACACTCGTCTTAATGTAGCAGTAAAGGTGCGATTTAATGTAACACGGAAACTCGACGTCGAAAATCTGCAAACACAACAGGTAACAAAGGCCTACTCCGCTCAACTTATCCACCTGCTTGACGAGAGCAATTCTTTCCCATAAGCATCATGGGAAAGAATTGCCCACTCCCTACAAACTGCAGCAAAATCAACACTTGGGTACCAAAAGGAGAAACGTGGTAACAGATACAGAGAGCGTGTTGAGGATGTGGAAGGAGCATTTTGAAAAGCTTATGGTATCAAATAGTGGCGGTGAAGAAGATACACCAGAACCAATAAGAGATGACGGTATATACCACCTAGCAAAGATGAGGCCAGAATAGCAATCAATCAACTGAAGAGTAATAAAGGAACAGGAACCGATGAGTTACCAGCCGAACTATTCAAGACTGGTCAGATGCTGGTCAGGAGCATGCAACAGCTGATTAGTTCAATTTGGCTAGGATGGGACACAGGATGCTGATCGTTGGGTATGCATTCCTACCCAACGATCAGCATCCTGTGTCCCGTGCTCCTGTATAGTTGTATGTGCCAAATATAGAGGAAGAAGTATCCTTCCCATCGCCTGTAAATTGCTATCCAGCGTGCTGTGTGAATGATTGAAGCCAATGGTCAATGACATTATTGGACCATGACATTATTCAGACCTGGAAAATCAACCTTTGACCAGATCTTCACTCTGCGACAAATCCTGGAAAAGACCCACGAAAAATACGTCGCCATGTCTGCGTTCAGCATTCTTGCAAAATTAATACGACTATGCAGGATAACTGTAAGTGGCACAAAGTCAGCAGTTAAAGTCGTAAAGGATATATCGGAGCCCTTCAATACCGAGCGTGAATTCAGACAAGATGACAGTTTGTTGTGTGATATTTTTAACATCCTGCTGAAAAAGGTCATACAGGACGCAAAGGTGAACAGAAATGGCACCCTGTACACCAAACAACACATGTTACTTGCCTATGCCGATGATATCGATATAATGAGCGGTAACATTGCGAGCGGTAACAACCACCTTTGGACATATTGAGAAGATGTTTGCCAAAGTGGGTCTGGCAGTAAACAGCGAGCTCATCAGCTTGGTCTTCTCGCACAAAACGTCTAGTAGATTCGGACTGTGGAACTTGAGAACTACAGCTTCGAGGTAGTCACAGATATTATATATACGGAGAAGAATAGTATTGGCCCACAGATGCAACTATAGTCTAAGTAAACTGTTTAGGAACAAGGCCACCTCCCGTCAGACCCAACTCACACTCTGCAATACGCTGATACTACCCGTGTAGTTATATGGGTACTTACGAAAGCAGATGTGTGTTTGAGAGAAAAATTCCCCGAAAGATCTAAGGGCCGATCTGTGTTGACGGTAAATGTCGACGTCGAATGAACCACGAGCTATACTCGAACATCGACATAGCCAGTCGTATGGCTAGGACATGTTGTGCGAATGAATGAGGATGCTCCAGCTCAAAAGGCATATAAAATCGAGCCTGCTGATGGATTGGTAGGCTACGAATTAGGTGGAAAGATCAGGATTTTTTGTTACAAACGGAATGACAAATATATTCGCCATATTTTAAAATAGACCTCCACAAGTGTACAAACCTATACTCTGTATGTCATTGGCTGCGGGGTCACACCGACTGACAGATTATTACTTGTTCTATTAAACTTGATCCCGATACATAGACTCAAATTCTGCAGACAGAAATAACTGTGAAAAATTTAGACAACATACGTTACATATCGAGGGTCGACAATTCCGACTGGTAATTTCAATTAGTTTCATACGTATTTTGCATTCAATAAAGATTAAAGCAGCCACTAATTTTAATTTGGGGGAACCCTTAATAATGATAACTATGCAACTTGCAATTATCACATTGTAAACAACTCGTTAGAAAGCCAACGTCAAACAAGTTAATAAAATTCGTATTAACACACACACAAACCGAAAATCCTTAACTCTTCTAAATAATAAAACAAATAAATACAAATGTACTACACATATGAGCGAGGAAGGTGGGGGAAATGGTTCTTACCAGTGTTAACAGTAGTTTTGTGTTCGTTTGCTGTAACCATGAATTACGGTAACATTTAACTTTTGCTGCTGATGCTGATAAATTCGAATTCAAATATAAACTTTTATCCATTTTTGAAAGTTTCTATGGCACGTACGCTGCCGTTTGCTGCTGCAGCTTTACGCCAGCTGGTGTTTCTTCGCTTCAATTGTCGAGGAAACTGTTGGGCTGGCTGGCGTTCTGTTATTGGGTGCACAAAAAATGCTTGTTGATATGCTTGTTGGTCGGTAGTTGTTGTTGTAGTTGACTTAAGCGAATACCAGCTGCTGTTGATGATGATGACGAGATTCTTATTGTTGTCACTGTTGTTGTTGTTGTTTTTGTTAAATGGACAATAACGAAAAGTAGTGGTTGTAGTATTTGTTTCTGTTGCTGCTTTTGTTAGCCTTGATCGTTGTCTCTGCTGCAATGTGGGTGGACAATAATGCCCGTAAGCCATACCAGCATCTAACATTTTACCATCGTAAAAGACATTGAATCGAAATCATTATAATAACGTCCTTTAGAGCTTGTCTATCTTGTGTTCGTTTTATGTTTTCAGTTTTTTGTTCATTCTTATCTTTGCTATCTTGTTGTGAAATCACAAATACACGGAAAACATACAAACACGCACGCACACAATCACACTATGAAGTTGAGAACGATTGGAAGTTGTATTAAAGTTGGAGTTCTTTATAATGTTTTATAAAGTTTCACTTCGTAGAAAAAAAATCTGAAAAGAAGAAAAATGGGAAGATTATTGAAAGGTTGAAAAAGTTTAATATTCAAAATGGAAATCTTAAACAAATGCTAACAGTTTATATGTATGGTAGTCCCTGAAAAACTATTCTTTAATAAATCCACACCTTGTGGTAGTCCCTGAAAAACTATTCTTTAATAAATCCACACCTTGTGGTAGTCCCTGAAAAACTATTCTTTAATAAATCCACACCTTGTGTTTCTTTAATAAATCCACTTGAAAAAATATTCTTTAATAAATCCACACCTTGTGGTAGTCCCTGAAAAACTATTCTTTAATAAATCCACACCTTGTGGTAGTCCCTGAAAAACTATTCTTTAATAAATCCACACCTTGTGGTAGTCCCTGAAAAACTATTCTTTAATAAATCCACACCTTGTGGTAGTCCCTGAAAAACTATTCTTTAATAAATCCACGCCTTGTTTGGGTCCTTGAAAAAATATTCTTTAATAAATCCACGCCTTGTTTGGGTCCTTGAAAAAATATTCTTTAATAAATCCACGCCTTGTTTGGGTGTTGAAAAAATATTCTTTAAAAAATCCACGGCTTGATTGGGTCCTTGAAAAAATATTCTTTAAAAAATCCACGGCTTGATTGGGTCCTTGAAAAAATATTCTTTTAAAAATCCTCGCCTTGTTTTAGGCCTTGAAAAAATATTCTTTAATAAATCCACGCCTGGTTGGGCCTTGGAAAAATATTCTTCAATAAATCCACGCCTGGTTGGCCCTTGGAAAAACAATTCTTTAATAAATCCACGCCTGGATAGGCCAGGAAAAATATATTCTTGGAAAAACTATTCTTTAATAAATCCACGCCTTGTTAGCCCTTGGAAAAACAGTTCTTTAATAAATCCACGCCTGGTTGGGCCTTGGAAAAAATATTCTTTAATAAATCCACGCCTGGTTGGCCCTTGGAAAATATTCTTTAATAAATCCACGCCTGGTTGGCCCTTGAAAAAATATTCTTTAATAAATCCACGCCTCAGTTGGCCCTTGAAAAAATATTATTTAATAAATCCACGCCTCAGTTGGCCCTTGAAAAAATAATCTTTAATAAATACACGCCACAGATGTCCCTTGAAAAAATATTCTTTAATAAATCCACACCTTGTGGTAGTCCCTGAAAAACTATTCTTTAATAAATCCCCACCTTGTGGTAGTCCCTGAAAAACTATTCTTTAATAAATCCACACCTTGTGGTAGTCCCTGAAAAACTATTCTTTAATATTCTTTAATAAATCCACGCCTTGTGCTAGTCCCTGAAAAAATATTCTTTAATAAATCCACGCCTTGTGTGGTTGGTCCTTGAAAAAATATTCTTTAATAAATCCACGCCTTGTTTGGGTCCTTGAAAAAATATTCTTTAATAAATCCACGCCTTGTTTGGGTCCTTGAAAAAATATTCTTTAATAAATCCACGCCTTGTTTGGGTCCTTGAAAAAATATTCTTTAATAAATCCACGCCTTGTTTGGGTCCTTGAAAAAATATTCTTTAATAAATCCACGCCTTGTGCTAGTCCCTGATAAAATATTCTTTAATAAAACCACGCCTTGATGGGCCACAGAAAAAAAAATCTTTAATAAAACCACGCCTTGATGGGTCTGAGAAAAGTCCTTAAATTATACATTCGCAAATTCAAGACTTGCTGTGCCTTGCACAAATTTTTAACAAAATTTTTAATTTCACCTTAGAATTGCTGATCCGCCTGTCTGCTGTTATATTTTCCAAAAATTCCATTTATCTTCATAAAATAAAATATTCACTTTCAGTTTTTTAATTTAATTTTTAATAATCACCAACAAAAAATTGTCTCACCTAATACCGCCATTGCATTAAACATATAGTCGTCACTTGTTTACATAAAGATAAATGAACTAAAAAATTAAGAACAGCAGAATGAAAGATTCCCAAAAACAAAAAGTCCGAACAAATATACAAACAGTACTAAAACTAAATGTTATGGAAAGAAAATTGCATTTACAAAAAAAAGTTTGAATTAATGCCGACACGCCATTCAAAGGTCATTGGGCACCGAATTACGGCAGACTTCTTGACAAATAAATGGACAAAAATATAATATATTTCAAACAGCTGGAAGGTCAGACAGACTATGGATTTAAGGCCGAAGACTAAAATAATCCACATGTTTGTTATTGTTTGTGGAGTGAATACTTAAATTTTTTGATAAAGTCAAAATGAGTCAACACTATGGAAAAAATAAACAGAGTAGCTAATATTGGAAAAAAATAGGATAACGAAGGCAGATGCAAATATAAACGAAATTGACTTCGATTGAAAAAAAAGCTAGTTTATCCTTCACTATGGACTATGGGCGTTTGGAAAATTCAAGAGATTATTTCAATAGTTGCAACCTTTCTACAAAGGGGATAAGTTACAAAAATAAATATTTTGTAATATTAGCCTAAGGTGTGGATTTTATAAATAAAAATTTTTTTCCAAGAAGCCTTAGAATTTTTTCCATGAAGCCTTAGGCGTGGAATTTATAAAGAATATTTTTTCAAGAAGCCTTAGGCGTGGATTTTAAAAAGAATATTTTTTCCAAGAAGCCCTAGGCGTGGATTTTATAAAGCATATTTTTTTCCAAGAAGCCCTAGGCGTGGATTTTATAAAGAATATTTTTTTCCGAGAAGCCCTAGGCGTGGATTTTATAAATAAGAAATTTTTAGAAGAAGCCCTAGGCGTGGATTTTATAAATAAGAAATTTTTAGAAGAAGCCTTAGGCGTGGATTTTATAAATAAGAATTTTTTTCAAGAAGCCTTAGGCGTGGATTTTATAAACAAGAATTTTTCCAAGAAGCCTTAGGCGTGGATTTTATAAATAAGAATTTTTTCCAAGAAGCCCTAGGCGTGGATTTTATAAATAAGAATTTTTTCCAAGAAGCCCTAGGCGTGGATTTTATAAATAAGAATTTTTTCCAAGAAGCCCTAGGCGTGGATTTTATAAATAAGAATTTTTTCCAAGAAGCCCTAGGCGTGGATTTTATAAATAAGAATTTTTTCCAAGAAGCCCTAGGTGTGGATTTTTTAAATAAGAATTTTTTCCAAGAAGCCCAAGACGTGGATTTTATAAATAAGAATTTTTTCCAAGAAGCCCTAGACGTGGATTTTATAAATAAGAATTTTTTCCAAGAAGCCCTAGGCGTGGATTTTATAAATAAGAATTTTTTCCAAGAAGCCTTAGGTGTGGATTTTATAAAGAACAATTTTTTTGAAGAAGCCTTAGGCGTGGATTTTATAAATAAGAATTTTTTCAAGAAGCCTTAGACGTGGATTTTATAAAGACTAATTTTTTCAAGAAGCCTTAGACGTGGATTATATAAAGACTAATTTTTTCAAGAAGCCTTAGACGTGGATTTTATAAAGACTAATTTTTTCAAGAAGCATTAGACGTGGATTATATAAAGACTAATTTTTTCCAAGATGCCTTAGGCGTGGATTTTATAAATAAGATTTTTTTTCCAAGAAACCTTAGGCGTGGATTTTATAAATAAGATTTTTTTCCAAGAAGCCTTAGGCGTGGATTTTATAAATAAGATTTTTTTCCAAGAAGCCTTAGGCGTGGATTTTATAAAGACTATTTTTCAAGAGGCCCTAGGCTTGGAAATTATTTGATTTTCCTGAAAAAATCGAATATAAGTAAAATTTGAAAATTACGGTTATTCTTATCAGTGTCAATTAAGTAAAATTTGGAGAAAATTTCAATTCCCTAAAATATAAATAAAACTCCCTATATAACATCTTAAGTAATTATTTATTCCATTTTGTTAACAACTATCAATGAAACAACACATTTTAACAACTTTCGCTTAAACATCTACCATTGACTCCCCCGCCACATTTCGAGGGCATAAAAAAGTTACACCTCCACGACTACAACGTAAGTAAATAAATAAGTAAAACAGAGAATATATCAGCATCCCCATCATTTAGTTTTAAACACAAAATATGAAAAAAACAAAAACTTTGTTGCACACCGAACACAAAAACAAGATGTTACGCCATCATAACATTTTATATACTACTGCAATGTAAGTAAGTCTTCCCATTTTTCTCGTATCCTGGCAATTTTCTTGCATTTCACTTTCAGCATCAATTGAATGCTATGGCAGGGTATGCACACACCCTCGCACTCAGGCACCCCAACTAATTGACTTCACATTATGTTGCTACATATACACTTATACATTCGCATTTACATTGTGCGCACACACACGCACCAGCACCATTCATAAGTCGTGCCTCTCGTAATTAAGTTGCTGGATCTGTCGTCATTGGCACGTAAGTATAATTTAATGCTTCCTTTTATCTTTATTTAGTTTACACCACAGCTCAGAGTTGTT